CACATGGCATAACATCACGCGTATAAGGTATTGTCTATACTCAACCCCTTAAAAAAGGTCTGCTTCCAACCTCCTTAAGTATAAGTAACTTAGAATTATCAATATTGTTCAACAATATTTTACTAAATAGCCTGCTTCGCTGTTACATTTTATAAGATCCTATTTGTTCATTTATAGCGAATATGGTGCAAAACGTACAATGAATTCCTTTCTAAAATGGTAAGTATATTTTTGCTAAAAATCATTTAATCGAAATTCGTATAAGTGTTCGGATAATTCAACAAATTTCATTGAGATTTATAAAATGTATAAAATCATTTTTATTAAGTTTTGAGAAGTATGGAGTGGAGATTCTCCAACGGTATTCGAAGATACACAGATTGATTTGCTACAAAATTACAAAATAATTATAATATATTATTACTAACATGGAATTGAAATAGTCACAAAAATGTTTATTATGTATTTAACCATGAGAATGCATAGTTATTCAAAAAATATCGAAGCAAAGTACCTGAACATAGCAAAAAAAAAAGAAAATGTATCTTAATTGGTTAATTCTTAAATAGTAAATGAAGCACTTGCTAATATTAATGTACATAAATTATTATAATCATACTAGATTGAATAAATATTAAGAAAGTAATTTTCAATTGGCTTATTATTTTTCATTTTTACCATATATTTGTAGGTAAACGTCAAATCATTTATTAAATATACATAGATAGTCCACGGTATAGGAAATATGGAAACCTATTAAGTAATAAGAGAAATGTGACAATAGAATAGCATTAAGTGTCATAATTAAAAAAATAATTATTATCGTATTTAGATTGGCAGAGAATGACGGGGGGATCAAGTCGTCCGATGGTTCAGGAAACCTGTTTGAGTAAAATATCCTGAGATAAGAAAATATATCCAATTTATAATAGTTTTATACTGTCGCGTCCCGCGTAGTCACACGGTAAAACACATCACAACATCACAAGGAGGTTCCCATGTACATCAAAAACCACAACTATGGATAAGTTAGATTATTGTGTTCACGTGGTTATTACACTAGAGATTACAATAAGGAATTAGAATATCGAAATCACAAGCGTGGACAAGTGAAAGGGTTCACATAAACGTTTTTCTGGGAAATTGAAATAAAATAGTTTATCGGAATGATGTGGTGACCACATCCTGGGCATTTGCGTCAATAATTATGTCACGGTCTGGAGATAACGCACACACACTCACAATTTATAGGAAATTATCTTATTTTATTATCTTATTCATTTACACACACACATTTGGGATTTTACACACACACATACAATATCACATATAAAAGGGACCCGAAAACAAGGGCAAATCAGGCGAGTCTTGTCTATGCTGCACTGAGCACCTTCACGTCAGTGTATGTTATGGTCTGGACTTAGAAATATTTCCAATTATTTTATAAGTACAATTGTTAGGACTTAAATAATTTCTATCACTAGAATATTTACAAAATTTGTAGTTAGAATAATTTTTATAAGTTAAATAAATTTAATTATTTTAAAAAGAAGTCTTAATTATTCCTGACTACACTTCCACACAAGCGTTGACTGAGACGTTGTAACTGAATTAACGGATCAAACGGTTGGCACGTAACAATACAAACAAAATATAATTCTGTTTAACCACCTATAAAGTGAAGTATCTGTATATAAGCCTGTATCTCAAATAAATATTATATTATTAAATTGTTGAATTAAAAATTTTCAAGGAAGTAATTTTTATAATTGTGTTCCTCATTGTTTTAAATAATTAAATTCCGTCTATTCCGATAACATATTTCACAATTATAAACCCAATCTAATCTAATTTAATCTAACATAATCGAAAATCAATAGACAGTTACAATTTTATCGACGCCCGTATGGCATATAAACGGGAGTTTATCGATTCCGCCGAATATCTGTATACATATATTGATTGCACCAGCCATTAATTGCGCCGAATATTTTTATATATCAATCCCGCCAAATATTTATATATATATAAGAATATAACATAACATTATAATATTAAAACATTTTCGGATTTTGTGAATACATAATATTGTTTCCAGCAGATTTTCTACTAAATATTGACACAGTAAATAATATTTTATTCTACTCTACAAATTCTAATTTAAAATTGCTATACTCTAGTGACAAAATATTTATAGATGGTACATTTTATAGGTGCCCAAAATATTTCCATCAACTGTTTACGGTTCATATTTTTAAAAATGGACTTTATTAGTGATGGGAATAATCGAATGATTAATAATCGATAAAAAAATAATCGAATGATTAGTGGTCGAAAACAAAATCATCTAATGATTTAACTGCTTTAACTGATCGTATAAATAATCAAATGATTATCTATAAGCATGAAAGTCAAAAGCATTTTCAATCCAAATATTTATACCTATTAAACCAATTAGTGTGGGATTACCACAATACCGGGATTTATACTAATGATTAAAAATAAAATAAATAATAATACAATACTAATGTATTGTCGACTTCTTAATTTAGTACACAATGG